TAAAAAAGGCATCTAGACGTTGGCGAGCTTACATGTTGCGCACAGGCCTATCCTTGCACAGATTCCAATGTTTTCTCGCATTTTCGGAACATCACAACTCGATTCCAGTTATGGCGAATGACATCTTACCTGACTAGCATGCTCAGTATGTAGTAAATGCTTCAATCATCTACAATACCTTCGTATCATCTACGATGTCATAGTATTCAGGAGTCACCATGCAAAACGGTTTACCAACCAGGAATCCACCTCACCAACGGGCCGAACGAGATGAACGGCTCGTTTGATGCTATGTATCTCAATGACCCGGTAACGCTGCCTTACTGCAGGCCACCTAAGTCTAGTGCACCCCGTCAACTTATCCTTTCTAGGTTGGATCTGGTAGTACTTGATATATGCGTACTCCATGGTCCTCCCATCTACTTTGCAGTGAAATAGTAAAAGAACCTTAGCGTACCACTCTTCCGTCCCATTGTCGGTCTCCCCTTTCACCACCACGTCTGAGTACCATGGACGTCCATGGTGTATTGGCAGGGCACGTACACGATGGGGCAGTCGGCTGTACTGTGCGTCAACTGCTGCTGGCATGGCCAACTCCCAGTGTACCTGCAGACATTACAAAAACAATGGGCTTAGAGGTGATGTCGCCCTAGTGAACGGTATTCTATAGTATAAAAACATTGTACCTGTATGCTCTTGATGTTCGACCCCTGGTTGTTACACGCAGGGGCAGCGTCAAGGGCCGCTCTTGGGTGTGCCAAATCTGCCCCAATCTCCTTCTCCAGCTTCTCGTCACGCTTCGGTTGTGCGGCGTTCGGGACGCAAAAAGGAGCAGCTGTCCGACCGCGAGGGACGTGTAGGAGCCAAGATCGTCGCGAGAGCACACGCACGCCTGTCCGCTGTGCCTGCAGACGTTAATAGCAATGGACATGCACGTTTGAGATTCAAGTCGTACTTGACATGCACACATGCGAATAGAGGAATTAGCTCACCTTGATCATGGCTGTATCGTACGTCTTCTTCTTGGCTAGCATGGGTGCAATGGACTGCAAACGCAAGCGCTGTACCTCACTCTGTACCACCTGCGCGTTCACACTACGCTTATTCGAGGAGCGATAGGGAGTTTTTATGTATTCGATGTGCAAGTGCTCGTAGAGTTGTGTAGAGTAGTGGTCTGGCAAGCCTGAACGCCGTATCGTATCTATGAAGTGGCTAACGAGATGCATCTTGATGAAGTTCCAGTCCGAAGTCTGCGGGAAATGTGTAGTCAAACCGTAGAGCATCCTGCGCGACAATTGGGTTGTGAACACACCCAGAATTAGTAGGCTAATTGCGGCATGTCATACTGCGTCGAATAGATAAGCAACTCACCGTTGAGCCTTGGTCTTCAATTCGTGCAGACTGCCATCGGTGTGCTCGCATGCACGTGCGCACTCCAGGTACCACTCGATGTACGAAACCAAAGCTTTCATTTGGTCATCCGTAATGCACCCTTCCGCAATAAAGGGCAGAACCTGCATCACAGAACGATGCTCGAACGCTTGGTAATTGGCACCTTTGGCGAAGTATTCACCCGATGGCAGCCTCATGCTGTCAGAATGTTATTCTTATGTTCTAGCCTGTAGTGGGGTGCTCTATAGCGAGTACAACCCTTCTAGGGTTTGCTATTTGTATCCCCATTTCTGCTAGTTCAACCCTCTTTCTTCTTCTAACTTTTGACATGCTATCAGAGCAGGTCGATCCCCTTGGATCGATCCTCTGGGTGGGCTCACCACCTCGTTGCTTCCGCTGCAACTGCTACTGCTACTCTCTGTGCCGCACGCCCCGTGGCGTGCGGCATTTTTTCTTCCCGCCCTGCGCCCCGAGGTGCACGGCGGTTTTCTGCCCGCCGTGCGCCCCGAGGCGCGCGGCGGTTTTCTGCCCACCGCGCGCTCGGGGCGTGCGGCGGTTTTCTGCCCACCGTGCGCCTCGAGGCGCGCGACGGTTACCTGCTTTGCGCGGCGGTATTCTGCACGCCATGCGCTCGGGACGCGTGGCGATTTTCTGCCCACCGCGCACCTTGGACGCACGCGGCGGTTTCGCGTTCCGTCGACCCGCACGCCCGTCCCCGTCGACCTGCGTGCGGCTCCTCGTCGCCCTTCGCGGCGGCCCCGTCAACCCGCGCGCGGCTTCCGGTCGCCCTTCGTGGCGGCCCCGTCGACCCGCGCGCCGCCCCTGGGGACCCGTGCACCCGTCCCCGTCGACCCGCGCGTCACCCTGCGGCCCCCCTCCCCGCACACCTGAGTTCGATTACCGCACATCCGAGTTCGCTTCCCGTAAGCTTGTGCACGCTTCACGCACACCTGAGCTCGCTTACCGCACACTCAGGGTATGGGGGTGACGGGTATGGGGGTGATGGTTGTGGGGGTGTCGGTTGTGCGTGCCGTCCCCTTCTCCTCCTCCTTCGTCCCCCACTGCTGCAGCTGTCGCTGAGGGGGGTGGTTGTGTGGGAGACTCGGGTTTAGGGTTTAAGGGGGGTGCGTGGGAGTGGAGCTAGGAGCGTATCAGCGGGTGTGTGTTGGGGGAGTTGGATAGTTAGGGAAGCTGCATGGAGGTTGCCGTCGTGTCGTCAGCAGCACCTGTATTCCGGGGGCTTCGCCCGGTAGCCCAGTCGTAGCCAGCTGTGCCAGCCGCCCGTGGGTCCGTTGCTCGTCTGCCGCTACTTTAGCCGCGGGGCCAGTTACTCCAGTATTCCGGGGGCTTCGCCCGGTAGCCGCTGTGCCAGTGTGCCTCCTGTTGCCCGAGTGTCTGCAGCTTCAGCCGTCGCCTCCCAACTCCTCTCGCTCTCACTCCTCCTCACTTGCCCGTTGTGACCACCACTAGCTTTGCTCATAATTGTGCACTTGAACTTACTTCTTGAACTTGTGCTCAGAATGTGTGGTGACATTGTGATCCACCCTGAGCTTGTACTGCTTTGTTTGCTCTGCTGATTACACCCCACTTTGGCTATGGGGGTGTGTCAGAATGTTATTCTTATGTTCTAGCCTGTAGTGGGGTGCTCTATAGCGAGTACAACCCTTCTAGGGTTTGCTATTTGTATCCCCATTTCTGCTAGTTCAACCCTCTTTCTTCTTCTAACTTTTGACACATGCATCCACCACGTGTGGACTTTTTAAGTTGTTTTAGACGTTGATCTAGCAACTTCATCTTCCTGGGATAGTTTTCCCTAATGTGCGCTCGAATGCTATCCACAATGTGCTCGAAAAGGCCTAGGTCGGCTTGATGCATGATATCAGGAAGCACCGCAAGATACGGGTTGAGCAAGCTCTCCGCTTCCCATCGCCATCCCCAAAGGTAACTCTGCACGTATATAGCATACGATAGTTAGACGAGGGTTATAACATAATTCAAAATGGAAGGGGAGTTTGTAACATACCTGGACCGGGTGAGTCGAAATGGCGTCATCGCCATCTGGTTGGATCGTCTTTGTCCGCACCGAGAGAACAATGGCGCGTTGCTCCGATGGCGTCCGCGCTTGAATGCGGTCGGTGAACAACGCAAGCTTGTCCTTATGAACCTTGCATAGTGAGCAAGGAAAGTTCGTCGATCCCGACTTCGTGCACGTTACTTTGCACGATTCCGGGTAATCCGTGACATGTGCATACATGGATGGCCACACGTTGATTGTTTTCCCCGCCGAGTCGACCATATCTATACCCGTATGAGAAGCACGCTTCAACCCCGCTAGCACCTCGTTCATGATATAATGGAAGATCAGCGTCCTATCTAGGGAATCATACTCTTCGGGATACTCCGGGAGCAAGGCAAGCAAGACGTGCCCATAGGGCTTCCACCTATCGTCCTTGTCAATATTTCCTAGTGTCAAATACACGGGATGCCCTTTAGCCTTCCCACGCTGATCCATATGGGTCTCATCACTTGCAAGAATGAGAGCAGCGACAACACCTTCCGGGTTGACTTCACGTATATTCTTTTGAAGCTCCTCCCACCATAGCGCGGTTTCGGGTGTTGAGTAAACTCGCATGGTGCCATCTTTAACGACGCGAGCCTCCATGCTCATCTTTGGAGCGAGATTGGGGTCCTTTAGTAGATCCTGAAGAGCGACCAGTCCATCGCAGTACCAATTTTCGAGCCACGCCTTGTTCCCCGCTCGAACGGTTTTGCGTCTCCACCCGCGATGCTTATCCGGGGCCCGTGATTCGACGTACTGTTGGACATCGCGCGCAGACTTCCATCCTGTCAGCTGAGAGAGCTCAAATGCATGGTGGAAGAGAATGTTAAACAAGGCTTTGATTGCCTTTTGGGAGATATTGTTGGCTAGCAACCATTGCGCGAATGCATCCCTGCTGTTGAAGGGTGTTTCTGGCGACGTTGCAGCTAGACCGTTATCAGGCAACACGTTCCCATCACTTCCCTCCTGAATGTCGTCCCGCACGATATAATCATCTGCATCACATGGTAAGCTTGCATTCTCGGAATCACTAGAACTAACGTTGCTAGAAGCACTATCATCCAAATGCACCTCTGTCAGAAAATCACCCCCGGTACATGGCACTGGAAAAGCATGTAGATGTTCGTGAAGAGGGGTTGACATGGGCACGGCTGAAGTCGAAGCAACAGCAGTGGGAATAGGATTGGGTGCTACGGTGGGTATGCGAGGGCGTTTATGCAACCCAGGGTTACTTGTGAAGTACGGCGTAGGTGTCATTGCACGCTTTGCAGGGCAGCTTGAGCTACGCATGTGACTCTCCATGCCCTGTTGGGTCAAGAAGGTGTTGACCTTGCAGGCAGGGCAGCGGTAGCTCATCTGAATGAATGGGGCAGAGAGAGAGTGAATGGGGCAGAGCGTGAGTGAATGGGGCAGAGAGGGAGTGAATGGGGCAGAGCGTGAGTGAATGGGGCAGAGAGGGAGTGAATGGGGCAGAGCGTGAGTGAATGGGGCAGAGAGGGAGTGAATGGGGCAGAGCGTGAGTGAACGTGGCAAAGGAGGAGGGAATTGGTCAGAGAGGGACTGACTGGGGCAGACAGGGAGTGAATGGGGCAACGAGGGAGTGAATGGGGCAGAGCGTGAGTGAACGTGGCAAAGGAGGAGGGAATTGGTCAGAGAGGGACTGACTGGGGCAGACAGGGAGTGAATGGGGCAACGAGGGAGTGAATGGGGCAGAGCAAGAGTGAATGGGGCAGAGAGGGAGTGAATGGGACAGAGCGTGAGTGAATGGGGCAGAGAGGGAGTGAGACGGGCAGAGTGGGAGTGAATGGGACAGAGAGGGCGTGCATGGGGCAAGATAGGAAATTAGGAGAGGTGGGGGGGGGGGGGTTGTTGTTTTGAGATACCTTGACGAATTACACAGGGAACAGAACAACTCTTCGCTCCACGACAAGTGTTCGGTGTGTCACCACTGCTCCAACAGGCAGCCCTCTCCTACGGTGAACTGGCCAGGGAGATGAGGGAAAAGGGTGTGACAGAGCAAGTGGGGCCGTCAGAGAGCCAGAGCGGCAATGAGCGGGGATGCGAGAGTGGCAGAGAGAGGTAGCGTGAGAGTGGCAGGGAGAGAGAGAGAGAGAGAGAGAGAGAGAGAGAGAGAGAGAGAGAGAGAGAGAGAGAGAGAGAGAGAGAGAGAGAGAGAGAGAGTATGCGACAGAGCGCGAGAGAGAATGCGGCAGGGCATGAGAGAGAATGCGGCAGAGCGCGCACGCGCGCACGAGAGAGAGAGAGAGAGAGAGAGAGAGAGAGAGAGAGAGAGAGAGAGAGAGAGAGAGAGAGAGAGAGAGAGAGAGAGAGAGAGAGAGAGATAGAGAGAGAGAGAGAGAGAGAGAGAGAATGCGGCAGGGCGTGAGAGAGAGAATGCGGCAGAGCGAGAGAGAGAGAATGCGGAAGAGCGAGAGTGAGCGAATGCGGCAGAGCGAGAGAGAGAGAATGCGGCAGAGCAAGAGTGAGAGAGAATGCGGAAGAGCGAGAGTGAGCGAATGCGGCAGGGCGAGAGAGAGAGAATGCGGCAGAGCGAGAGAGAGAGAATGCGGAAGAGCGAGAGTGAGCGAATGCGGCAGGGCGAGAGAGAGAGAATGCGGCAGAGCAAGAGTGAGAGAGAATGCGGAAGAGCGAGAGTGAGCGAATGCGGCAGAGCCAGAGAGAGAATGCGGCAGGGCGTGAGAGAGAATGCGGCAGAGCGCGCGCGCGTGCGCACGAGAGAGAGAGAGAGAGAGAGAGAGAGAGAGAGAGAGAGAGAGAGAGAGAGAGAGAGAGAGAGAGAGAGAGAGAGAGAGAGAGAGAGAGAGAGAATGCGGCAGAGCAAGAGTGAGAGAGAATGCGGAAGAGCGAGAGTGAGCGAATGCGGCAGAGCGAGAGAGAGAGAATGCGGCAGGGCGTGAGAGAGAATGCGGCAGAGCGCGCGCGCGCGCGCGCACGAGAGAGAGAGAATGCGGCAGGGCGAGAGAGAGAATGCGGCAGGGCGAGAGAGAGAATGCGGCAGAGCGAGAGAGAGAGAATGCGGAAGAGCAAGAGTGAGCGAATGCGGCAGGGCGAGAGAGAGAGAATGCGGCAGAGCGCGCGCGCGTGCGCACGAGAGAGAGAGAGAGAGAGAGAGAGAGAGAGAGAGAGAGAGAGAGAGAGAGAGAGAGAGAGAGAGAGAGAGAGAGAGAGAGAGAATGCGGCAGAGCAAGAGAGAGAGAATGCGGAAGAGCGAGAGTGAGCGAATGCGGCAGAGCGAGAGAGAGAGAATGCGGCAGGGCGTGAGAGAGAATGCGGCAGAGCGCGCGCGCGCGCACGAGAGAGAGAGAATGCGGCAGGGCGAGAGAGAGAATGCGGCAGGGCGAGAGAGAGAATGCGGCAGAGCGAGAGAGAGAGAATGCGGAAGAGCGAGAGTGAGCGAATGCGGCAGGGCGAGAGAGAGAGAATGCGGTAAAGAACATACATGCTACTTCCTTATGCTATGTTCGTTCACGCCACGTCAATGTATAACGCAGATTTCCTGATGCAGTTGCCGGCATCTACAACTCAGGATTGACACGGCGTGAGCACTATGTGGGGCGGTAGGCTCGTGAAAGGGAGGGAGGTAAAATTGCCGTCAGAGAGCTCACCTTTTCGCGTCGTGGACACGTATGTGCCCTCTCTCTGGTCCTTTCGCTACCGCGTCACGTCGCTTGTTGCGCCGTTGCTTCAGCTGCTGCAGATTCGTCGCAGCTTAGCGCGACGCGGCTGCTAAGGCGACAAACGGTCGTTGCGTTATCTCTACAATGGAAGCCAGATTCACGTTTCTGAACACAGAGTTGCCTAGATGTCGAGTGAATTATGGAGTGAATCTCAGGGATGGGTGGAGTGTGGAGGGAGGAGTGATGGAGTCGCGCACGAATAGGGCTCTCTTTGACAGCGCGGTATAATGAGGATCAAAGCGGTGACTTGAGGTACAATGTTTTTATTATACGGTGTATAGCGTTCCTGCACGATTCATACGAGATGCACCAATAATTGTGGACCTGAAATGCGTTCTGTTGGCGAATTGATGAACCGTGAGATGCGGGGCATTTTGGCAGAGAATTATGTGGAAACAAAGAACGAGAATCAATGACTATGAACGAAGTGAGTACAAATAGGAAACCCTAATTGGGTTGTACCCCCTATGGGATACCCCACTATAGCCTACAGAAACAAGTAAGCTATAAGTTCTGACACACCCCCATAGGCAAAGTGGGGGAGAACAAGGGGTCACAAGACCAGTCAAGCAAAGCAAAGCAAAGCTCAGGGTGGATCACAAAGTCACCACGCATTCCGAGCACAAGTTCAGAGGCCACAAGGCCAGTTCACATGCAAGATCATATATAGAGATATACAAGAACAAGAGTATATATATGCGAAAGTACAAGCAAGGTCAAGAGGAGAGCAAGTGAGGCAAGACAGGTACAAGACCCAACTGCGTGCAGCAACGCTGATGATCACAAGGCGCAAGTGCCTTGGTGAAGACATCAGCAGTGTTGGCCTCAGAGGCCACGTACGCAAGTCGCAGCTGTCCACGCTGCTGTAGCTCACGAGCAAGAAAGTAACGAAGAGCAATGTGCTTCGTTCTGTGCTCCAGTCGCTGCTCTCGACACAAGGCCAGCATGGCCTTGTTGTCTACGTACAGGACTGGAGGAGAACGAGGCTGCTCTCCAAGGTCGGTCAGCAGGTAGGTGAGCCAGCGTAACTCCTGTGCAGCCATAGCCCCAGCGTAGATCTCAGCCTCACAACTGGAGCCGAGAACAGAAGACGAGCGGGTAGCCCGCCACGAGACAGAGCCGGAACCAAGGCTGAAGGTGTAACCCTGTGACGACCGCTGCGTAGCCTGGTCGTCAGCCCAAGAAGCGTCTGCGTGCCCAGTGAGGACCACTGGACTGCGCCCTCCAAGCACTAGCCCCATGCCCGACGTACTGCACAAGTAGCGCAACACCCTCTTCGCTGCAGCCATGTGCTCTGGTCGGTGTCTCCCAGGAGCAACAAAGCGTGCGAGAATGCTAAGAGGGTATGCGAGGTCAGGTCGTGTGCAGGTCATCAGGTACATGAGGCAGCCAACAAGCTCTGCAAACGGGCCACTCGACTCTACGGACTCATCCGAAGGCAGAGCTGAGAGCGAGTGGCGAGTAGGCAGAGGAGTGGCCTGAGGCGAGGAGTACGTGAAGCCGAAGCGCTGAAGGACCTGCTGCACCATGTGTGACTGAGTCAGGGTAATGGTGCGGCGTGCTCTGTCCCGGGTGATCTGCAAGCCAAGGTAGCTGCGCAGTTCACCCAGGTCAGTGCACGTGTGTCTCTTCTGCAGCTCGGACTTCACGTAGGCGAGTCCAGCAGTGTCAGCTGTGGCAAAGACCAAGTCGTCGACGTACACGAGGATGTAGAACGGCGGCAGAGAGGTGTCGGTGCGCAGAAACAGCGACGGGTCGGCAGTGGAAGGAGCAAACCCAAGTGCCGCGAGCGTAGTCCTCAGTGTGTCGTGCCACTCACGTGGCGCCTGGCGGAGACCGTAGACTGGACGCCGGAGACTCCACTGGGTACCAGGAGGGAAAGACCCAGTGAAGCCAGGTGGGCGACGCAGCCAGATCTCCTCGTGCAGGCTGCCCTGCAAGAAAGCTGTGCTGAAGTCGAGAGAGTGCAGCTCGTAGTCACGGTGAGCAGCAACGTGTAGCAGAACCCGAAGAGTGGTCATCTTCGGGGTGGGGGAGAAGGTCTGAAAGTAGTCAACCCCCTGCCGCTGACTGAAGCCACGAGCCACGTAACGCGCCTTGAAGACAGGCGGAGAACCCGGCGGCCGCTTCACCCTGAAAATCCACATGCCACTGACGATGTTCGCCCCAGGAGGGGGAACAGCGTCAACGTAGGTGCCTGTGGACTTCCAGGAAGCCATCTCTGCATCCATAGCTGCCTGCCACTGAGAGGAGTAGGGACCCTCTATCGCCTCCGCGTAAGAGCGCGGAGTCGGGATGTCTGGTGCATCCGGGTCTCCCTCAGGGGCTAGCAGTACAGACGCGAGACGAGGTGAAGCGGCGGCCAGACACTGGAACTCCTCCTGCCTGTCCTCAAGGACGTCCGTGCCAAGGGCACACTCACCCCCGACGGACGGAGGACAGGCGGACTCAGACTCAGTGACAAGACGAGCAGCGTAGTCTAGACGACAGCGCGCAGCAAAGTCGACAAGCTCAGTGACAAGGGCAGACGCAGCAGACGACTCGAAGGAAGGGTCAGTGACAGCAGTAGCAAGGAGACGCGTGACAGTAGGACTGGCAGCACGAAGAGAGTCCGACTCCGGGTCGGCAAGAGCAGGAAGAGAGGAAGCAGGAGGAGAAGGCAAAGGGGCACGCAGAGGAGCAGTGGACGGACGCAGTGACATCCGGTGCGTGCCAGGGACAGGAGGAGGACGCTGACGCGACCCGCGACCACTAGCGCGCTCAGTACGAACAGGCGACACAGGACGAGACGCAGGCTCACGACGCTCAGTAAGACCTCCAGTCGGACCAGCGTAGGGAGGAGGAGCAGGCAAAGGGGAGGCAGGCTGTAGCTGTGGCTGTGACCGGACAGGCTGCGGACCCTCTAAGGGAGGAGGAGGAGGTGTAAGACCAAGAACCTGCTGCAGGAGCGGAACGAAGTACGGTCGGGGCCGCGCGGCGACGCTAGAAACAGCAGGAACAGCACCAGCAGCCCCGGCAGGAGCACCCACTCCAGTAGCACCTCCAGCAGCACCACCAGAAGCTCCAGAACCTCCAGCCGCAGCACCAGGAGCACTGTCAGTCGGGCCGCCAACGGCAGGCTCAGCACCAACACCCTCAGCAGGACCAGCTCCAGGAGAACCCGCAGGCTCAGCAGCTCCAGCACCCACAGTACGAGCGCCGGCGGGGCGCGCAGCAGCAGTACCCTCTGCAGCCGAAGAACCACCAGCACCAGCAGCACGCCTCCAGCGCCCGGCAAACCACTCACGCAGCTCGTGTGGGGAGAGTGGCTCCCGGCGAGACGAAGCACCCCCAGGCACAGCACCTCCAGGCTCAGCACCCCTAGACACAGCACCCCCAGGCACGTCACCCCCAGGCTCAGCACCCCCAGGCTCAGCAACCCCAGGCTCAGCACCCCCAGGCTCAGCACCCCCAGGCACAGCACCCCCAGACTCGGCACCTCCAGACTCAGCACCCCCAGGCACAGCACCCCCAGGCTCAGCACCCCCAGGCTCGGCACCTCCAGGCTCAGCACCCCCAGACTCCGCACCCCCAGGCTCAGCTCCCGCAGCAGCACCAGAGTCACCAGTGACCTCGACAGGCTCGACCGCGTCTACCTGGGACACACCTGAAGGGGCAGGACCCTGAGGGGGGAGGGGGACTACCGGGGGGGGACCTGGTACCAAGAAGAGCGGGGGTGGGGGGAGGGACGGAGTGCGGTAGGGGAAGAGGCGGTAGTAGGGTACCGACTCGTCGAACGTGACGTCCTGGGAGGACAGAACACGTCGAGAGGTGGGGTGGTAAAACTGCCACCCAGGGGCGTCGGGGGGGAACCCCAGGAAGACGCAGGGAGAAGCACGAGGGGATAGCTTGTCCGCAGACAGGTCGCGAACAAACGCCCGAGATCCCCAGACCCGGAACGCCGACGCATCGCCAACCTTCCCCGTCCACAGCAGGGCTGGGGAGGTCTCCGGTCGAGAGACCCTGGGGTGGAGGTTGATCTGGTGCGCAGCGTACCTGACCGCAAACGGCCACAGAAAATGGGGAGCAGCCGCATGCATCATGGACGTACGAGCGACGTCCATGACCATGCCAATGCGGCGCTCAGCAATCCCATTCTGCTGCGGTGAGTCCGGAAGCGTGAAGGTCTGACGGATGCCTCGCGCACGACAGTAGGCACTCAGGAGGCCAGAGGAGAACTCTCCGCCTCTGTCCGAGTGCAGACGCAAAACAGGGAAGTCAGAGCCAAAGCTCCTCCGAAGCTGGAGACGAGCTGCGCGGATCCAGTCGATCAACACCGCAGTGACCTCACCCTTGCTGCGTAAGGGGAAGACTGTGGTGTAACGCGAGTAGTCGTCAACCACCAGCAGGAAGTAGCGCTCCTGACCCTGTCCACGGACGCGGGCTGGGCCCCACACATCCATGTGAAGCGTCTGCAACGGGGCCTCTGTCGGAGGAAACTGGGAGGAGTGAGGGGCAGCACGCTGGCGCCCCTCGACACAGGGGACACAGGTGGGGCCAGGGCCCGGAGGAAGGGGAGGGAGAGACCGGGGAAGACCAGACACAAGGACTCGCGAGGCCATGCCTCTGAGCCGAAGCAGAGAGGGGTGGCCAAGGCGGTGGTGCCAGAGGAGGGTCTCGTGAGACAAACGACGGCACGAGCAGGGGGCAGACTCAGGACGAGACCTGGACGCTGCAGCAAACACCTGACCAGACGAAGTGACCCTACCAGACTCAGCACCTGGAGGAGAAGCAGTGGTCAGAGTGTACAGGCTCGACCCTGGCCGACGTGTAAACGTAGCCAGGTGGCGACCTGTATCCGCCTCCGTGCAGTGGGTCACCCGCTGACGAGCAGGGGTGAACTGGTGGACACCCGCATCCTGGAGGTCAGCACCACTCACCAAGTTCGTCGAGAACGAGGGGAGGTAGAGACCAGTCAGGGTGCCAGAGGGGGCCGCCGGACACGGGAGGACAGTGGAGAAGCGAGACAGGACAGGCCCCCCAGAGGGGTCAGCCAGGGACACCGCAACCGGCCGACTCAGCGGCGTGAGAGTGGTGCGGTCCCGAAAGAAGGAGCGAGACGCTCCAGAGTCAAGGGTGAAGGTGTGAGAGGCCGAAGCCGACACAGTACCTGAGAGGGCAGACTCACCAGCACCTGAGAGCACAGACGCACTGGCACCTAGAGCAGCAGCCTCACTAGTACCTGACGCGGCAGTACCAATGCCCGGGTCGGGCGGGAAACACCGGTAACAGTCATCCTCATCACTACCAATCGCAGCATACATAGCAGAGAGAATAGCATCAAAATCAAGATCATAAATAGCTACACCAGCCCTAGACAGCTCTCCCCAGCGGGGGATCTCAGCTGCCTCCGGAAACTGCTGACGCCAGGCGTCAGTCAGGCGGCCAAAGCAGCGGCGGGCAGTGTGGGCGCCTCCACACCTCTCCCCTGCACGGTCACCGGTGCGGAGAACGTAGGGGCAAGGACCAAGCGCACCACCACGCTGACGCTGCGAGTACCACTCACGGAGCTGCTGAGGGGCGGGGACGGTGCGAGAGCGCTGCTGCTGCTGTGGCTGCTGCTGCGGCTGCTGCTGCTGCTGCTGCTGGCGCTGACCACCCCCGGAGCTGCTCCGCTGGGACGAGCCACTCCGACCCCCGCCTCCACTGCCACCCCCGCCTCCACCGCCACCCCCGTCTCCACCTCCACCTCCCCCACCAGGACCGTCGCTCCCACCGCTCCCACCGCCTCCTCCGCTACCACCTCCGCCGCCACCTCCGCCTCCACCGCCGCCACCAGTACCTCCACTCCCGTCACCACCCCCACCGCCACCCCCACTCCCCCCGCCACCCCCACCGCCTCCTCCACCGCCCCCTCTAGCTCCACCCGCCCCCTTGCCCCCCTTGCCCTTGCCAGCGCGGCGTCTGCCGCTGGGAGCAGACGCCGCGCCGACCGACTCAAAACCAGTGAGGTCGGCCGCAGCGGCAGAGGCGACAGAGGGCAGCAGGGGGGAAGGACCACACCCCTCAAAGATAGGGGTGCGAGGGTCACCCCGAGAGGCCCCTACAGCGACAATACTCTTCTCAGCCGCTAGCAGGGACTCCTCAAGGAGGTCGACAGTGAGAGTGGTGGGACAGACAGAGAGAAACTGGTCCCTAACGACACGAAGGGACTCAGGGAGACGGGTGACGAGAAAGTAGAGAGTGATGTACATGGGAGGAGGGTTCGCAGCGCGGAACTCAGCAGGAAGGGCAGCGCGGGTAGCGGGTGTCACTAGCACGGAGGTGGGTAACGAGGTCAGCGACAGTGGGAAAGGAAGCGAGGTCAGGGAAGAGAAACGGTAGCATGAGGCGGCTAAGGGTAGCGGAGGAAGGGGAGGAGTAGCGTGCAACTACAGCGTCGTACAAGGCCTGAGCGGTCTTGCACTGACTAAAGTGGGCACGCTCAGAGGAAGGGAGGTGGCGACGCACAGCAAGACGTGCAGCAGCATCGCGGGTCGCCCACTTGGAGCGAACGGCAGAGTCAGCATCAGCAGGTGGGGCAGGGACAGCGCCAGAGACAAAGTCAAAGAGAGAGACCTCATCTATCGCATCACACAGTAAGTACAGCTGCAGGTCTTCAATCCAGACGGCAAAGTCAATGGCCCTCCCCTCAGCGTCAAAGGTAAGAACATTGGGGGTGGCCATGACAGCAGCTGAAAATCTCACCGGGCTGGGAGAGGCGGGTAGGTCAGCAGCAGAGGAACAGCAGCACGGCTCCGCAGGCGGCTCGGGCGGCGCGGGCGGCTCGGCGGCGGCTCGGGCGGCGGCTCGGCGGCGGTTCGGCGGCGGCTCGGCGGCGGCTCGGCGGCGGCTCAGGCGGCGGCGGCTCGGCGGCGGCTCGGCTGCTGCTGGGCGGCGCGGGCGGCTCGGGCGTCACGGGCGGCTCGGCGGCGGCTCTGGCGGCTCGGCGGCGGCTCGGGCGGCGGCTCGGCGGCGGCTCGGCGGCGGCTCGGCGGCGGCTCGGCGACGGCTCGGCGGCGGCTCGGCGGCGGCTCAGGCGGCGGCGGCTGCTGCTGGGCGGATCGGCGGGGCCGCGTAGCAGAGTGGCGGCGAGGCCGCGACCGAAGAGGGCGGCGGGGCCGCGTAGCAGAGGGCGGCGGGGCCGCGTAGCAGAGGGCGGCGGGGCCGCGACCGAAGAGAGCGGCGGGGCCGCGTAGCAGGGGGCGGTGGGGCCGCGTAGCAGAGGGCGGCGAGGCCGCGATCGAAGGGCGGCGGGGCCGCGTAGCAGAGGGCGGCGGGGCCGCGTAGTAGAGGGCGGCGGGGCCGCGTGGCAAAGGGCGGCGGGGCCGCGATCGAAGGGCGGCGGGGCCGCGTAGCAGAGGGCGGCGGGGCCGCGTAGCAGAGGGCGGCGGGGCCGCGAGGCAGAGGGCGGCGGGGCCGCGTAGCCGAGGGCGGCGGGGCCGCGATCGAAGGGCGGCGGCGGGGCCGCGTAGCAGAGGGCGGCGGGGCCGCGATCGAAGGGCGGCGGGGCCGCTAGGGAAGGGCGGCGGAGCCGCGAGGGGAAGGGCGGCGCAACGGTCCGCTAGGGGCGACACGACGGGTCGCTAAAAAAAAAACGCGCCTCGGGGCGCGGTTCGGTGGGCCCTAGAAGCAGTCCCTAGGAGGGAACCTGCTCTGATTCCATGTGGAAACAAAGAACGAGAATCAATGACTATGAACGAAGTGAGTACAAATAGGAAACCCTAATTGGGTTGTACCCCCTATGGGATACCCCACTATAGCCTACAGAAACAAGTAAGCTATAAGTTCTGACAAATTATATGTTTAGAAACAAACAACAAAAATTGCTTTTCAATAACTAGCTTCGATACAAGACAGTGAACATGTATATGTTAAAACAACCAAACCACATATAAAACCAGTAACTACATCTACAATATCACCATAACAGTACTCAAAATACAGTACACATTCATAACAATAGTTTTTACACGATGGAGAAATGTAATCAAAACATTAGTATAATTGTACAAGTCATTATATAATAATAACATGTTGGAAACTGTGTACAAAAATTATTAATGTTAAGAACACATTATTAAACTCTTGTGGTAACAAAAAAAAAGTTAGCAAAAACGAACACCCAAACAAAAACAAAGCACATAGTAAAACTGTTCCATAAATGGCATGACTGCAAATTGGTTACATAAAGAGTTACCGATACTTGGATGACGTGGCAACAATCAACCAACATTTTCTCGCAAAGGAGAAATTGCGTGCGTAGTGTTGGTTGTCAACAAGCCCCACACATCTCCCGATCTATCGCCATATTTGTCTGAGACAGCGGACCAATGAAAACGCTCGTAAGCACCCAAGCAGAAACGCCACGTAAACCATGGTTTGTGGTCCACCTGTACAGTGCGCGACTGTTAATAGAGGTAAATGGTGATCGAGGGGGGTGGGGAGAAAACGAGTAGAAAGGCTTTCGACAATCTGCAGGTATAAACCCAGCACATCCGATGGTAAACTGCCGAGAAGCAGGGTAGTGCGAATTTCACCTCATCAATCATCGAAAATGACCGGCCTCCCAACTCAAAAAAGGACCCCTCGCCCTCCCCCCCCAATACTCGGCAGTTTCACATTTTTCCGATGCAGACTGATCTGATGAGCCTTTTATTAGGAGTTTTCATATCGGACCCAAGCACGTGGAAGTTTCTACGAGTGGCAGTTACTACCTTACAGCTGCGAGGATGCTGTCGTTCCGCTAGGATGTGGTGGCGCAGCTGCACGACGAGGGCGGGCTGTGCTGAAGGGGTTGCATAGGTCGATTCCGAGTAAACAACACCCGTCCCCTTTTTCTCAGTCAGGATGCTGTCGTTCCACGAGGAGGTGGTGGCGCAGCTGCACGAGGAGGGCGGGCTGGCGGTCCTGGGGGCGGGGCTGGGGCTGCACAAGGTGCTCGCGCTGCTCCTTCGCTACCACCACATCACCAACGCCTCCTGCTCCCGCAGCCTCGGGATCATCGGCAGCAGTAGCAGCGGCGGCGGCGGCAGTAGCGGTAGTAGCGGCTTGGGTGGTTACAATGGGCGGTTGATGTTTGTGATTGGGTTGGCGGAGGAGCAGAGGCAGGCAGTGCAGGAGGAGCTTGAGCTGCTGAACAGAGCTCCGGCCCTTCCCACAGCTCCTTTTGAGAACTCTCAAAATGCGGCTTCCCGCTCCAGCCCGCCTGCTGCTACTCCCCGGGACAATCTTGCAGCAGCAGGATCAGGGTCAGCTGCTGCTGCTACTGCAGCAGCAGCAGCAGCAATGCCTGTAGCATCAGCAAGGAGAGCAGCTGCTGCTGTGGTAACAACATCCGCAGAGGGACACGAGGCTGCAGAGGTGTCAAGTGTAGGAGCAATTGCTGGACGAGAGGCAGAAGCACCACTGTCGACTGTGCTGCACCGCGCTGCACTCCCGTGCGTGCTGGCGGAGGTGAACAGCAGCATGTCGAGTGCTGACAGGGTGGCGGCGTACCGAGAGGGAGGGTGCTTCGCCGTGACCTCCCGCATCCTCATTGTCGATATGCTCTCCGATCGAGTGCCTTTCAGTAAGGTATACTGTGCCTTTCAAGCAGGTGACCTCCTGCATCCTCATTGTCGACATGCTCTCCGACCGAGTGCCTTTCAGTAAGGTATACTGTGCCTTTCAAGCAGGTGACCTCCCGCATCCTCATTGTCGACATGCTCTCCGACCGAGTGCCTTTCAGTAAGGTATACTGTGCCTTTCAAGCAGGTGACCTCCCGCATCCTCATTGTCGAAATGCTCACAGGGTCACCGACACAGGAGGTTGCTGTTCAGTTATTCTCTATTACTCTTCTTCTCCCCTCCCACTTGCCCTCTCCCTCTCCTCCTCCCCTCCCACCTGCTGTGCGCTTAGCACAAGGGCATATTAGTGGTGAACGCACACAGGGTCACCGGCACAGGAGGTGCTGTTGAACAATTAGTTACTCCCTCTCTCCTCTTCCCCCATTGCACATGTCTTGCTCGCAGCTCAAGGGCATATTAGTGGTGAACGCACACAGGACAGGATCACCGACACAAGAGGAGAGGAGATATCAAGTCATTTGTTACTACTCTTCTTTTCCCCTCGCCCCTGCCCTCCTCTCCTCCCCTCCCATCTGCGGTGCTCGCAGCTCAAGGGCATGGTGGTGGTGAACGCAAGCAGGGGTACTGCCACAGGAGGTTGCTGCTGAGCCATTCTTTACCCCTTTTTTTTAAACCAAAAAAAAAAAAAAAAAGTCGTTGTTGTATATCCTCCTCTCCCCCCTTTCCGCCTGTCTTTCTCCTATCTTGCTCGCAGCTCAAGGGTATAGTGGTGGTGAACGCACACAGGGTCACTGACACAGGAGCAGAGGCCTTCATCCTGAGGCTCTTCAGGTGGGAGCTTCCAGGTGGCCAGCCCCAGGTGGCCCTTCAGGTGGGTTCCAGGTGGTGGTTCAGGTGGGTGCACATTCAGTTCAGGATCAACATATCAGTATCTTGTTTCTCCATACAGCGACCCAAAGAAACGCTTGAAAGAAAGGCGGCATAATGAAAACGTCTTACCATTTTCGAGAGCGACGCATCAAAACCGACAGCAACAAGCATGGCTTCATGCACACGCTGTCGGACCGGCCCAACACGCTCACTGCACTCTCTCTTCATGCCACATCTGCATGTGCATTCGACCCCTGCTTCGCTTTATCTCCCTGCTGAACCCCTCCAGGGATGCCAACAATCATGGCTGCATTTACGCGCTGTCAGACCGCCCCAACTTGGTGACTGCTGGCTTCCATATGGCAGAGGGAATTCTCAAAGCAACCTCTTTTCATGGCACATGCATTCAATCAACCCCTGCTTCTCTTTGTCTTCCTGCTTGCGTTGCCCCCAGGGACACCAACAAACAGGGGTTTATCTATGCACTGTCAGACCGCCCCAACTCGCTCACTGCCGGATTCCACAAGGCGGAGCGAATCCTCAAGTCGCTCTTCCTGCGCCGCCTCTACCTGTGGCCGCGCTTCCAGGTGAGTGTTCTGATGCTCCTTATTCCAACTTGTGTAGCTCGAAGCACTCAAGCACTCTCTTCTCAACTCGTACAGCGGAAAGCACTGTGCCCTCGACTGGTCTGGTAAATCACTCTCATCTTGAGCGAAACCTCAAGGCCCTCTTCCTGCGCCGCCTCTACCTCTGGCCGCGCTTCCAGGTGAGCGTGTCGATGTCCTCACCTCAGGCATTATAGTATAGGTGGACCGTGGAAGCACTTTCTCCTTCTGAGGATTCTCAAAGCGCTCCCCCTGCGCCGCCTCTATTCTGGCCGCGCTTCCAGGCAAGTCCTCATAGCGCACATCTGATTTCCCTATGTGCAAATACGACATGTTTTTTTATTTGAGAGCGTAATTGAACCATCCCAAGCCATGCATTCACCATCCAGGTGAGCGTGTCACAGGCACTGGAGCAGCACCCCCCCCACGTGGAGGACGTGAGGGTGCCTCTCTTGCCAGCAGCAGCAGCAGCAGCCTCATCCCTCTTACCTTTCACAGCCCACCCACACCATATCCCTCCACCCGTATTCACCTATCGTTCAGGTCAGTGTGTCCCAGGCGTTGGAGCAGCACCCCCCGCACGTGGAGGACGTGAGGGTGCCTCTCTCGCCGGCAGCAGCAGGCATCCAGCAGGCGATCGTTGACATCATGGGCTCGTGCCTGCAGGTAGGCTCGTGCCTGCAGGTAGGCTCGTGCCTGCAGGTACACACCCTCCCATCGTCGCCCCATAGCCCGACAGCCCGACAGCCCCACAGCCCACCATGGCTCCGTAGCCCCATATCTTAACAGCCTAGTCCCACTCTCGCTGGCAGCAGGCATCCAGCAGGCATCCAGCAGGCATCCAGCAGGCCGTCGTAGGCATCATGGGGTCGTGCCTGCAGCTGCGAACCTCTCCATAGCCTCACAGGTGTGTTTTGAGTCGACTCAAAACGTGCCTGCAGCTGCGAACCTCTCCATAGCCTCACAGGTGTGTTTTGAGTCGACTCAAAACGTGCCTGCAGCTGCGAACCTCTCCATAGCCTCACAGCTGTATGAGCCTTTAGGCGAGGCGTCTCCACATGTGCTTTATACAGCTAGTTGTTTTTCGTGTTTTGCTCTTCTTCTTAGGTAGTGCAGAAAGCAAATGGGAAGGGTGCAACGATACCCTCCTCCACCCTTTCATATGTTCTTCTTCTCAATCCCGTGCAATGCAAACCCTTGCTCTCCACCCTTTCATATGTTCTTCTTTCACTTGTTGTGTTGAAGGATCTGCGCCGTACAAACAAGCTGGACGTGGACGATCTGACGGTGGAGAGCGGCCTGTTCAAGTCGTTTGACGAGATCGTGCGGCGCCAGCTGGATCCCGTGTGGCACACACTGGGCCGCAAGATCAAACAGGTGAGGTCTCTCATGTGTGCATGTATGGTGGTAACTCATACATCGTGTTTTCTGTTTTACCTTCCTGTGCGTCCTCTTCATTCTCATCCCCATGCATCTCTTCTGAGAATTCTCATACATACACTGCATCTCTTCTATTTCATCCTTGGGATTATATTCCATCTCATCTCCTCTCTTCCACGCAGTTCGTCGCCCATCCAAAGTAGCCGAGCATCTGCTGCACTCGGTCACGTTCCTGCCGTCCTCTTCCCGTGCACATCCCCATCCCCTTTGTCTGTGCCCCGTCTCTTTTCTCGTCATGCAGCTGGTGGCCGATCTGAGGACATTGAGGAAAGTAGCCGAGCACCTGCTGCGCTACGACTCGGTTACCTTCCTGCGCTCCCCATCCGGTCCTCATCCCCATCCCCTTGTTCCTACCCTCCCATCCGTTCTATTATGCAGTTGGTGGCCGATCTGAGGACTCTCAGGAAGATAGCAGAGCACTTGCTGCGCTACGACGCGGTCACCTTCCTGCGCTTCCTGGATGCGCTCAAGGCGAGCGAATCAAAGGCCGCCATCTGGATCTTTGTGGACCCCGCGCCCAAGATATTTGAGCTGGCCAAGCGGAGGGTGTATCAGGTGAGGGGGTTGAGTTGAGCATAGATGTGCCAAACCCCGCACATGAGGAAAAGGGTTTTTAAAACCCCCTGCGCCCAAGATATTTGGCCGAGCAGAGGGTGTACCAGGTGGGTAAGGTGGGTATGTCGGGTGAGGGGGGTGAGCCTTGATGTGCCAGGGAGGGAGAATGAGGCCATTTTTTGGACCCTGCACCCAAGTTGTTAGAGCTGGGCAAGGGGTGGGTACACGAGGTGAGTGAGGCGAGAGGAGCGGGTGAGTGGATTGGGCATGGGTGTTATACGTGAGGAAAAGGAGATTGCATAGACCTTGCGTCCAACTTATTTGAGTTAGCCAAACGGGTCTATTTTGTTGATGGCAGGACCAATATGTACCTTCATTTTGTTCGGCATACTGTTATCATGCTCTGCGGATGCTTTGCTTCTGCAGGATGGTTGTGGCTCTTGTAGGAGGGGGGTGGGGGAAATGGGTCGTTTGTTTCTCTTTCCTGACTCTATTCCAAGCATTCCTGCAGGTTGTGAGGTCAGCAGCAGTGGCAGTTCCACCGCCAGTGGCGGCACATCATGAGAAGCAACCAGCCAAGAAAAGAGTGAGCTCCATCATTCATTGCACTGCACTGCACGGCACTGCACCGCATGCAAGTTTTGAGGAGAGCATGAGCTGCAGCGGCAGGTCCACCACCAATGGCAGCACATCATGAGCGCCAGTCGCTGCGCTGCACCTGCATAGTACTGCTCTGGTTTACGAGTCGACTCAAAAGTCACCTGCATAGTACTGCTCTGGTTTACGGCTCCAAAAGCTTCATGGCCGGAAACTGTTTTTCTCCATTGGGTGTGTTCTCTCGCCCTCCCATCTTGCACTCAGGCTTTGCGTGGAAAGGAGCAGGAGGGAAAGGGAGGCACGGGCGAGGAAAAGTACCGAGAGGGCGGGGAAAGGGGCACTGATGAAGAAGGGCAGGGGCTGGAAGTGAGGGAGGAGGGAGGCAGAAGGGGGAGCGGGGAGGAGGGTGGGGTGGAGCTGCAGCCGGTACTGGAGGAGATGCCCAAATGGAAGGTGGTGCGGGTGAGTGAGATAACGAAAGGGTGACTGTAAGTCTCTTGGAGAGTCGGTGACTGTAAGTCTCTTGGAGAGTCGGTGACTGTAAGTCTCTTTGAGAGTAGGTTTCAGCCCACTAGTAAGCCTAGAGTGGGATGGTGGTGGTTTGGAGCTGCAGCCGGTGCTGGAGGAGATGCCCAAGTGGACGGTGCTGTGGGTGAGTCTGATGGCGTAGGTGACTGTGATGTGATAATATGATGTGAGGGCGAGTCTGTCTGAAAGTAGGGTTCAGCCTGCTTGTCAGCTTAGAATGGGGGTGGGTGGGGGGAGGGGGGGGGGGGGGGGGGGGGGTGGAGCTGCAGCCGGTGCTGGAGGAAATGCCCAAGTGGAATGTGATGTGTGGGAGTCTGATGAAGTAAAGGTAAAGTAAAGGTGTGTGTGAGAGAATTTCTGTCCTTCGCATCAAGATTTGAGACAGTTTTTTTACCCACTTGCTTCCTTGCGTCTTGACCTCCATCCGCTCCCCTTCCAACAGGAACTTCTTGAAGAGATTCAAACGGAGCGCAGCGCACAACAGCAGGAAGCAGAAGCACCACCACCGGCACCATCAGCAGCAGAACCCCCCGTGCTTGTGGCATGCAAGGACGAGCGCACTTGCCACCAGCTGCGGGACGTGCTTGCCCTTGGTGCCGCCACGGTGAGCTCTCTGCTGCACTCCACACCTTCCCTACTGCTGCCCACGTGCAGTGGCAACAGTGGCTGCTGGTGAATGCTGGCCTCGTGGAGATGCACGCATGCCACTGGTCCTGCTTCATACGCCCATGCCACTCGTCCTGCTTCATACGCCCATGCCACTCGTCCTGCTTCATACGCCCATGCCACTCGTCCTGCTTCATTCGCCCATGCCACTCGTCCTGCTTCATACGCCCATGCCACTCGTCCTGCTTCATACGCCCATGCCACTCGTCCTGCTTCATACGCCTATGCCACTCGTCCTGCTTCATACGCCCATGCCACTCGTCCTGCTTCATACGCCCATGCCACTCGTCCTGCTTCATACGCCCATGCCACTCGTCCTGCTTCATACGCCCATGCCACTCGTCCTGCTTCATACGCCCATGCCACTCGTCCTGCTTCATACGCCCATGCCACTCGTCCTGCTTCATACGCCCATGCCACTCGTCCTGCTTCATACGCCCATGCCACTCGTCCTGCTTCATACGCCCATGCCACTCGCTGCTTCATACGCCCATGCCTCCTGCTTCATACGCCCTCTAACGATTTGCTCTCTCCCTTTTTACCTCTTCACACTCCCTTATACCCCTTCCCTCCCTGCATTCACCCATCCCTCTCCCGTCATTAACAGATGATGCCCTGCAAGTGGCAAGAGCTGACGTTATGAGGGGGTTTGCTGGTCATCATTGTTCCATGCTCCCCCCTCTCACACTCCACCCTTCCCCATTTCTCTCTCCTCCTGCCCTCCCTTCTTCCCGCCATCACCAGGTGATGCAGCGCGAGTGGCAGCACTACCTACTGGCCAAAGCTGACCTCATGAAGGCGAACCTTCCCAGACGGAGGCATGCGGCAGCTTCCGCTGCTACTGGCGCTGCCGCTGGCAATGCTAGCAGTAGCGGTGGCAGAGGTAACGGTGGCAACAGCAGCAGCCGGAGTGGAGGAAATGGCGCTTCTAGAAACGAGAGCGGCATGGACTCGTTCCAGAGAGAGCAGCTGCTGCTGCTGGCGGCAGCGAAGCAAGTGAGGAGGGAAATGGAGGAGGAGAGGGGAGGGGAGTTGGTGATGGCTGGGAGGGAAGAGGAGGAGAGTGGGGGGTTGAGAGGGGAGGTAGCAAGAGGAGGGCGGATGCAAGGAGGGGCGAGGGGGGATGGGAGAGTGAGGGGGGAAAGTGGGGGTGCAGGGGCAAGGGGAGGGGGTGGGGGGAGGGGGAGAGGGAGGAGAGGGAGGGGAAAAAGGGGTGCGGCAGCAGCAGGGGGTGGGAGGGGAATAGAAGCAGACGGGCGGCATGTGCGACTGGATCTAGATTTGGAAGTGGTGGAGAGGGGTGGAGGTGGGTTTGAGGATGGGAACGAGGTTCAAGAGGTGCAGGGGGGAGCTGACAGGGAGGAAAGGGAGAATGCGGAGGGAGACGCACGGGATGGGGGAGGTGACGGGGAGGGGGTGAAAGAGAGGAGAGAGGAGAGGGGAAACGGTAGTGAGGAGGACAAGGGTGGTGATGAGGGAACAGAGAGGGAGGGGAGTGAGAAGGGAGAGAGGTGGAGAGGGAAGGGGAGAGGGCGAGGGAGAGGAGGGACCAGAGGGAGGAAAAGTGGTAGGGTGTCTGGAGCACGGGGGAGGGGACTGGGAGGAGAGAGTAAGAGGAAACGAGGAGGGATGGAAGAAAGCTTGCAGGAGCAAGAGCAAGGGGAGGCGGAGGAAGGGGAGGAGGAGCAGGAGGAAGGGGCTAGATTGGCCAGCATTGGCAATAATGACAAGGATGGTGATGATGATAGTGATAGTGATACTGATGTGGTTCTTATAGAGGAAGTTGAGGCAATAGTGGGGGACGTTGCGGCATTAGTGGGGGCCGGCGGTGAGGCGAATGCAAAGGATTCCAGGGAAATGAATGAGGGAGCGAAGAGGCGGAAACTCCAGAGAACCAACCCTGACACCTCGTCACCCATCCGAAACTCCAATGCACCCATTCAACCATCTGAGCCTCCACCCACCAACTCTACACTCTCTAATTCTGCACCATCCATGTCAGCACCGCGCAACCCCACCCCACATCCCGTCCCCCCACACCCCGACTCCTCCGTCTCCCTCCCCGCCCGCATCCGCCTCGAGTTTGTCCCACCATCGGCCAATGGGAGGCTGCCAGCTGTGCACCTGTGCACTCTGGAGGGCGCATCCCACGTGCTGGAGCGGCTACAGCCGGGCGTGGTGGTGGTCTATGATCCCGACATAGAGCTCGTTCGCCAGATCGAAGTATTTCACGCCGCCCGGGCGAGGGCTTGGGCAGGTGCGGCGGGCAGGGAAGAAAGTGGGGCGGCTGCTTCGGAAGCTGCCCAGGAGGGAGAAGGTGGTTCAGAGGGGGGAAGGGGGGATGGCGTGTGTGGAGTCAGGGGGAGAATAAAAGAGCCTGGCGAAGGGGGATCAGTCATGGGTGCTGCTGCTGCTGCTAGTGCTGCTGGTGCTAGTACTGCTGTCCCTGCACGGTCACAGCAGCAGCCTCCCCTGAGGGTGCTCTTCCTGTTCCACGAGGGGTCCACGGAGGGCCACAAGTTTGAGGCGAGCGTGCGGCGCGAGAACGGGGCGTTCGAGCAGCTCATCAGACAAAAGGCGGTTATGACCATCCCGGCAGAGCAGGTGCGTGGGTGGTTTCTTGCACTGCCTACCAGCAGGTGGGTGGGTATTGTGTTTTGTAACAGCGCATGGTTCGTATGCTTTGAGCAGCTCATCAGACAGAAGGCCGTGATGACCATCCCGGCAGAACAGGTGGGTGGGTGCCTTGGTGCAAGCAACAGAGCAAGTTGACTTTTGAGTCGACTCAACAGTCAACGGGTGCCTTGGTGCAAGCAACAGAGCAAGTTGACTTTTGAGTCGACTCAACAGTCAACGGGTGGCTTGGTGCAAGCAACACAGCAGCCGACCACGTGCGCCCCCTTCCTCCGCTTCTCCCCAACATACACGTGGCTCTGGCTTACCTCTCTCCTCTCTCTGGCTTACCTCTCTCCTCTCTCTGCCTTACCTCTCTCCTCTCTCTGGCTTACCTCTCTCCTCTCTCTGGCTTACCTCTCTCCTCTCTCTGGCTTACCTCTCTCCTCTCTCTGGCTTACCTCTCTCCTCTCTCTGGCTTACCTCTCTCCTCTCTCTTGCTTCCTCTCATCCTCATTCATCTCGTCTTGTGCTCGCCCTTCCCATTCATTCCTTCATTCCCAGCTCGCCAGGACGGCCGGCTTGCCACGGACCATGCCCACATGACCATGCCCACATGACCATGCCCACAGGACCATGCCCACATGACCATGCCCACATGACCATGCCCACATGACCATGCCCACATGACCATGCCCACATGACCATGCCCACATGACCATGCCCACATGACCATGCCCACATGACCATGCCCACATGACCATGCCCACATGACCATGCCCACATGACCATGCCCACATGACCATGCCCACATGACCATGCCCACAGGACCATGCCCACATGACCATGCCCGCATGACCATGCCCACATGACCATGCCCACATGACCATGCCCTCATGACCATGCCTCCTCCGCCCCTCTCCCACCCACCTGTGTCGCTGACTTATTTCTTTCCTTTCGCCTTGCTCCTGCTCATTCTCTATCAGGATGGCCAGTCCACCACAGACTATGCCCCCACATGACCCTGCCTCCTCCGCCCCTGCCCCTCTGAGTCTTCTCCTTCTTTCCTCTTGTTGTTACCCATTCACATCACATCCCATCAGGACGGCCGGTCTACCACAGACTACACGCATATGGCCTTGCCTCCTCCGCCTCTCACGCACCCACCTGTGTTCTCTGACATGATTCTTTCCTCTCTCTTGCTCATTCTCATTCTCTATCAGGACGGCCGGTCTACCACAGACTACACGCATATGGCCTTGCCTCCTCCGCCTCTCACGCACCCACCTGTGTTCTCTGACATGATTCTTTCCTCTCTCTTGCTCATTCTCATTCTCTATCAGGACGGCCGGTCTACCACAGACTACACGCATATGGCCTTGCCTCCTCCGCCTCTCACGCACCCACCTGTGTTCTCTGACATGATTCTTTCCTCTCTCTTGCTCATTCTCATTCTCTATCAGGACGGCCGGTCTACCACAGACTACACGCATATGGCCTTGCCTCCTCCGCCTCTCACGCACCCACCTGTGTTCTCTGACATGATTCTTTCCTCTCTCTTGCTCATTCTCATTCTCTATCAGGACGGCCGGTCTACCACAGACTACACGCATATGGCCTTGCCTCCTCCGCCTCTCACCCACCCGGCTGCTGCGAACGCTATCACAAGAAGAGGAGGAGGGCGGAGAGCTGCAGAGCGACAAGAATTGAGGGTGAGTAAGCCTGAGAAGGAGGGTGTGGAATGGAGAGAGGGGCAGGAAGGCGGGTTGATATGATCTGAGAGGAAATTTTTTTGTACAGACCCCTCTCTGCTTGCTGTCCGTCCTCCCTGCTTGCACCTGTGTGGCACATAGAGGCTTGAAGATACACGTTGCATGCATCCCCCCTCATATAGTAGGTGGTAATTGACATGAGAGGGAGTTCGACAGCAAGCAGTGGTGTTGCTTTCGTCCCGCTTTTCATCACACCTTCGCCTTGCATGCATGCATGCATGCATGTATCCCCCTCCCTTCCCCAAGCAGGTGGTGGTGGACATGAGGGAGTTCAACAGCAGCCTCCCCTGCGTGCTGCACCAGCGGGGCATCAAGATCCTCCCGGTGACCCTCGAAGTGGGCGACTACATCCTCTCGCCCGACATCTGTGTGGAGCGCAAGAGCGTCAGCGACCTGTTTGCCTCCTTTGCGTCGGGGCGCCTGCACCACCAGGCGGAGACCATGTGCCGCTACTACCGCCTGCCAGTGCTGCTGATCGAGTTCTCCAGTGACAAGAGCTTCTCTTTGCAGGTAAGAAGGGATTGTTCACAACCAGACTCTTTTCCTCTTTTTTGCTCGGGTCGGCTGCACCGCCAGGCGGAGGCCATGTGCTGTTACTACCGCCTGCCTGTACTGGTCATTGAGTTTTCCAGCGACAAGAGCTTCTCTTTGCAGGTAAGCAAGGGCTCGCCAGAGAGTCGCTGTGTGTGGTTCAGAAGAGCAAGTGAGCGACCTGTTTGCCTCACTTGCATCAGGGCCGCTACTACCGCCTTCCGGTGTTGCTCATCGAATTCGCCAGCGACAAGAGCTTCTCCTGCTGCAAGTGCCTCATACTCGTCTCTGTCTTTTCACTCTCTCTCTCTGCACCCCACCTCCCATTTTCCCACTGCCAGTCAGCGAGTGACATCAGCGATGACATCACCCCATCCAGCATCATATCCAAGATGTCGCTACTCGCGCTGCACTTCCCGCGCCTGCGGATCGTGTGGTCCAGATCGCTCCATGCGACAGCTGAGATCTTCACGTCGTTGAAGACCAATCAGGACGAGCCAAGTGTCGACCAGGCGATGAGGGTCGGCGTGCCGACGGAGGATGGGCTGGTGGAGGGTGACACGAGGTAGGGGGAGGGTGACACGAGGTAGGGGGAGGGTGACACGAGGTAGGGGGAGGGTGACACGAGGTAGGGGCAGAGTGACACGAGGTAGGGGGAGGGTGACACGAGGTAGTGGCAGAGTGACACGAGGTAGGGGCAGAGTGACACGAGGTAGGGGCAGAGTGACACGAGGTAGGGGGAGGGTGACACGAGGTAGTGGCAGAGTGACACGAGGTAGGGGCAGAGTGACACGAGGTAGGGACAGAGTGACACGAGGTAGGGGGAGAGTGACACGAGGTAGGGGGAGGGTGACACGAGGTAGGGGGAGGGTGACACGAGGTAGGGGGAGGGTGACACGAGGTAGGGTGACACAAGGAAGGGTGACACGAGGTAGGGTGACACGAGGTACGGTGGCATTCAAGGTATGCTTGAATTGTATCGTTCCACCAAATTCACAACGTTGGTGATATGAGTCAGGGTGGCTGCTGGTGGTCCGAGGTAGGAGCTAGGCTGTGTCATGCGGCTGGGAGATTGGTGGGCTGCGATAGAGAATGGTGGGGAGAATTGAAGCACAGAGGTAAGCGGTAATGAGAGTTAAATGGGGTTGTAGGGGGAAATGGGATATGAGTTCAGAACAGCATGCTGCAAGGGAGGGGTTGGTTCTTGAGAGTTCTCAAAAGCAGTGTTCATAGATGAGGTGGGGCTGTAGGAGGAAACGAGATGTGAGTTGAGAACAGGTGGCATGGAGCAGGGGAGGATAGCATAGGAAACAGGGAGCACCACAGGTACACAGTATCCTTCAAAGGTTTTCACTGAACGTGGCCTAAGGTCCAGCAGGCACACTTGTGTCTCTCTCTCGCTCACTTCCACTCTCATTCACTGTCACTAACTGTGCAATGCTCTTCTTTTCCACCCCATGCTGCCTTTTCTGGTCATTATCCCACCAATCAGAGACGAGCATTTCAACACGACAGCCGTAGAGTTTCTTCGGCGCCTGCCCGGAGTCTCTGACGCGAATTACCGCTCATTGGTCGATAACTGTGGCAGCCTGGCTGAGCTAGCGCTGATGCGTGTTGATGAGCTGGCGCCAATGATGGGCGGCATGCGCCCGGCTCAGATGTTAAGAGACTTTCTTGACGCCAAGTGCCCAACGCTCAAATAGTTGAATTTATGGAGATGGCTGGTGTTCCAATATAGCTGAATAAGCTGCATCGGGTAGGGTGTTTAAGTATGTACATAGCATGATTACATTGTGCATAGGAGGCACTACGCTGCGGTCTCTTTCAAAATCATGTGAAGGCCAGTATTGACCCATGTGTTGTTTTTTCTTCTCCTATTTCATATGCTAATGACTTGCTGGATGTCACATAACTCTCAGATTTGCTGGGAGGATCACCAATGATTGGGTTCACATTTTGACACATGTCATTAAAAGCAATTACAATAAATGCAAGCCTTTTATTCTGTGAGAACGGCTGTCCTCTCTTGAGAAACGCGTTTTCTTAGCGCGTACAAACGATTCGAAATTACCACCCTCCAGCTAGTCATCACCACATTTCCGCTTCTGATGGCATCCGTGTCGTTACGACCTGCTCCGCCATGCCTTCTGGTGGTGTCAGTTCCCTCGCCTGTACGCATCTGATAAGGACCAGCTTTCACAAACGCACTGACCGGTTTCGTATCCCATAGCTATTTTCTGATCCATCGGATGGCGAGTGACCTGTCAGGTCGTTTCATCTCCCCCCTTTTCAGTTCGACACGTTTCATGACGACACTTTCCACCTTACCACAATATACCCGTTGCGAGGCTGCAAAACTAGCCAGGACGAGTAGAGTGAACCAAGCGTGGGAAGGGGAGAGCGAGTCGCGTTCAAGATTTCCCTTTAACGAGGGGAGTCGATGCGCGTCTCCGCTACCAAACCGTCTAGTTGAATCCAGGCTCAAAACGGCGGCGGGAACATTCAGAGAATTCGGAAGCGACTTGTTTCAGCGTGGCGGCTGTACGGTCAGTAAAGTAAACAGTTGCCACTCTTACAGCAGCAGCAGCGGCAGCAGGAGGAGCAGCAGTGGCAGCAGCAGAGACGGCGTTGGAAGAGAGAGGTCTCGGATGGCGTCGTTTAAGCATGTCGTGGGACCGTCAGATGCGGTAAAGGCGTCTCGTAAATCTTGCCGGTCTTCGTTTACCTGCCTGAGTCCCTCCGAAGCGGAATGGCGGCTGATGCTGACGGAGATTGGCGTGCAGCCACGTAAGATGTCCCGCATTTTGACTCAGTACCACGCGATGCCTGCTGACGTGGCATTGGAAAGACTGGTATTTCTCCAGAGTTTGGGGGTAGACATCGGAAAAGCCCTCTCCTCCTTTCCCAAACTTCTATTCTACCCCCCTTCAACTGCCCGAGCCATGGCGGATTACCTAACCTCCATTGGCGTCCAACCGGGCTTGATTGGGAAAGTTTTGTCTGCCTGCCCGCAGCTCCTCGGGCTGAGCATTGAAGACAATATCTGCCCAACGATTTCCCACCTGGTGGAAGAATGGGGACTCAACCAATCATGCGACATCCCTGTGGTGATCTCACGCCACCCACGCTGCCTAACCTACTCTATCTCAGAAAACCTTCAACCGACCCTAACCTTCTGGCTCGGTTCGGGAATCGCCAAGCCTGCAAAACTCATCCGAGCCAATCCATCGATCCTTGGACTTTCCACTACCAAACGGATTCTCCCCACGATCGCTGCATTTGACAGTTATGGCATCCCACCCCGCCTCACTATTGACATGGTTCAGAAATTCCCCCATCTCTTCAATTACAGTTGGAATAGTAATCTTATGCCAAAGCTACAGTACCTGGAAGAAGTGGGGAGGGGTATTGACGAGGCGGTTCAGCACCCACAGTATTTCGGGTACAGTTTGGCTCGGCGGATTAGGCCGAGGCTCGGGGGTGTGGCTCGGGCCGGACTGCATGTGAGCCTGAGCTTTGTGCTGCGGCTGAAGGATGAGGATTTTGAGCGGCTGTATGGTGATGTGTGTAGGGTGGAAGGAGGGGGAGGTAATGGGAGGGACGCACAGGAGCAAGGGACTTGCACGTGAAAGGCAAGCAATTTCAAGGAGTGAGGGAGCGGACCAGGCATATTGCAACAGAGCTAAGTGCGTATTGTACTCTTGGTACTTGCCTTTGTCAGAACATTATAGCTTACTCATTTATGTAGGCTATAGTGGGGTATCCCATAGGGGGTACAACCCTGTTAGGGTTTCCTATTTGTACTCACTTCGTTCATAGTTCACTCATTTTCTCTCGTTCACTTCTTCTCATGGAATCAGAGCAGGTTCCCCTGTGGGAACTGTGCTTAGGGCCCACCACCTAGAACTTTTTTTTCTGCCCTAGCGCCCGCCCTAGCGCCCGCCCTAGCGCCCGCCCTAGCGCCCGCCCTAGCGCCCGCCCTTTCGAGCCGCCCGTTAGCGCCGCCCGTTAGCGCCGCCCGTTAGCGCCGCCCGTGCGGCCGCCCGTTCGCGCCGCCCGTTAGCGCCGCCAGTAGCGCCGCCCGTGCGGTCGCCCGTAGCGCCGCCCGTGAGCCGCTGCCCGTCGCGCCACCCGTTAGCGCCGCCCGTGCGCCGCCGCCCGTGAGCGCCGCCCGTGACGCCGCCGCCCGTGAGCCGCCGCCCATGACGCCGCCGCCCGTGACGCCGCCGTCCGTCACGCCGCCCCCCCCGTGACGCCGCCGCCCGTCACGCCGCCCGCCCGTGACGCCGCCGCCCGTCACGCCGCCCGCCCGTGACGCCGCCGCCCGTGACGCCGCCCGCCCGTGAGCCGGAGCTGCCCGCGAACCGCCCACCCGTGGGCCTTCAGCCCGCCCGTGAGCCGCCATCGCCGCCGACGCCGCCCGTAAGCCGCCGACGCCGCCGACGCCGCCCGTAAGCCGCCGACGCCGCAGACACCGCCCGTGAGCCGCCGACGCCGCCGACGCCGCCCGTGAGCCGCTGACGCCGCTGCCGCCGCCGCCGCCCGTGAGCCGCCGACGCCGCCGCCGCCGCCCGTGAGCCGCCCTGGCCGCCCGCCCAGCCGCCCGTGAGCTCCCCGCGCGCCGTCCCAGCCGCCCGTGAGCCGCCACCGAGCCGCCCCAGCCGCCCGTGCCGCCGCCCGAGCCGCCTGAGCCGCCCGAGCCGCCCGGGCCGCCCGCGCCGCCCTAGCCACCCGAGCCGCCCGAGCCGCCCGAGCCGCCCGAGCCGCCCCAGCCGCCCGTGCCGCCGCCCGAGCCGCCCGAGCCGCCCGAGCCGCCCGAGCTGCCCGAGCCGCCACAGGAGCTGCACTCCTGCTCCTGTCGGGCTACTTCTGCTCCTGGGCTACGTACCTGCGCCGCTGACCTACCCGACTCTTCCTGCCCGGTGAGACTGTCAGCTGCTGTCATGGCCACCCCCAATGTCCTAGCTTTTGACGCTGAGGGTAGAGCCATTGACTTTGCAGTCTGGATTGAAGACCTGCAGCTGTACTTACTGTGTGATGCAATCGATGAGGTCTCTCTCTTTGACTTTGTCTCTGGCGCTGTCCCTGCCCCTCCTGCTGATGCTGATTCCGCCGTTCGCTCCAAGTGGGCGACCCGCGATGCTGCTGCACGTCTTGCTGTGCGTCGCCACCTCCCTTCCTCCGAGCGTGCCCACTTTAGTCAGTGCAAGACCGCTCAGGCCTTGTACGACGCTGTAGTTGCACGCTACTCCTCCCCTTCCTCCGCTACGCTGAGCCGCCTCATGCTACCTTTTCTCTTCCCTGACCTCGCTGCCTTTCCCACTGTCGCTGACCTCATTACCCACCTCCGCGCTAGTGACGCTCGCTACCGCGCTGCCCTTCCTGCTGAGTTCCGCGCCGCAAACCCTCCTCCCATGTACATCACTCTCTACTTTCTCGTCACCCGTCTTCCTGAGTCCCTTCGTGTCGTTAGGGACCAGTTTCTCTCTGTCTGTCCCACCACCCTCACTGTCGACCTCCTTGAGGAGTCCCTGCTAGCGGCTGAGAAGAGCATAGTCGCTGTAGGGGC